AGTTCGCCAAAGATTCCCTGACAGCATTAGAGAATTAACTCATCGCTTACTCTAGTTTCTCAGCATGTGACCCTTCAAACTCTGCCATTCGAAAGATAGTACCAGAAATTTAAGAATAAATTTCCTTCTTAGCCACACAATAATCTATTCACATCACTCTAAAATCCACTCCGTTTCTGCGTTAGACAGGTTTCCAGCTTATAGAGGCCATTTTCACATTTAAAATTGTTCCGTTTTGAGATTTCTGTCCTGGAAAGTAGATTTTCATCTTGCAAAGATTTCGTCTTAGACAGGTTTTACTATACTTCAATATGTTTGCAAGAATAATATTAATAAACACATTGTAAGGGAGGTGTTGATTGCTATGAAAGGTAACAATGTGCATTAAACTTAATTGTCCTAAATTATACGAAATTTACTCCAGGGAAAAGGAATTGCAAAAATGATAGTTGACAACAAAACATGTGCAACAAAATTGTTTAGCCTACCATCCACAGCGAATAAGTAGATTATTTGTCAGATCCATCTGTACTGATTTTAAGTTTCTGAAACTATATCTGTTGTATCTGCAAAATGTTCTGCTTCTCAGTGACAGTTCAGCCAGTATCCATCCTTAACTTGGAATGCTTTGAATCTTGGAGAGAGGGTTGCAGTGACAAGTGCAAAAAAAACAAATTCTCGCGGGTGACAAACTGGCAATCTTCCAATGTTTTGCGCTGTTAATGGTATAAATTTAGCATTTTAAGAAGCTGTATCTCATGAATGCAGTCTTTGCGAGTAGTAAAATTTTGCAAAATTACATAGTTTTTTTTTTATAGAGGATGCAATGGCATGGTCTTGATTTTCTTTTAATATGACACAAATGAATGTTTGCTTGTAAGTAGGTGCACAAAACTACAATTTGTAACATTTAAAACTGTATTAACTTGTACGTAACTCATTCACACATTTAATGTAATAGAAAACACTCCTTTTTCAGAGAAACAGAGACAAAGGAATGCGTAACGTCTGAAAGATATACAAAATAGATAAAACCTTAGGATGGTTCATCTACATTTGACCATACATTTTTATTTTCAAATATAATGAATGATAATAAATTCACAATTTTAGGTAGATTCTAAAGCAGTAGAATATTACAAATACTACTTCTTTAAAAATTCATTCTGAAAAACAACAGTGGGTCTAAAGGAAATAAGGCCTAGGGTAGGACCATTTGCTCAATTGGATATTGCTAGGATCAAAACCTTTCAGAAAAATATCCTGGTATTTTCTGTTAGTGTAGGTATGACTTCTATCCGAGTTTGTAAATTGAGTGTGAGTTGCTCATTCAATGTTAATTAGTTGTAATGTTTTGCAAGTTTTTCTTGCTTGTAAGTAAGACTTGCACACTACTTTTTGAAGTAATTTTTACTGAAATGTCGTTAAAAATATCCATGTATTAATTGGTTGAATTATTAACTTCAAAATTATAATCAACATAAATTAAAATTTTGTAGTTACATTATTACTAATAATAATAATAATAATAATAATAATAATAATAATAATAATAATATTGATAATATTTGCTAACCTGCATTCTTTTGATATTATTATTATTATTGCATCTTTCTATTTTTTTGCTTACTAAGATAAGAGGATATTACAAGCACTTACACTGCTGAGACAATTGAAGGTTAGTGTCCACAACCGCAAGTACTTAAATTCTTATTTGACAATGCAATTATAAAAGATATCAGACTATTGCTATGGTATAACTGTAAATAATGTTAATGTACACGGACAAATTCTCTAACTTTATCCCACACGATTAGTAGTAAGAAGCTATAATGTTTATTTTGGCACTGCTACGTGATTTTCCCTCATAATTGTCTACCAAGAGCTTGATTAAATTTTTGTATGATTCTGTTATTTAACCAAAAAATATGGCACTAGCTCAGCACAATACAATTTCACTTAGCTTACTTTTACTTTAAACCACTCACTGGAAATAGTATTTGGGAATACTGATTTGGTTGTATACAAGTGCAAATGGGAGAAATACTCCTATTTAATTTTAATTAAATAAACTAGTGGAAAATATATAATATTAATTTTATAAGTAAATTATTTTATATTTCGATTAACTAGCGGAAAAGTATTTTAAAAATGTGGTGGTTCCTTTTGGTGTTGAAAGTTAATATTTTCCCAAAAGTGCTTTTCCCTTCTGTGCAAAGTGCTACACACACAAAAGTGCATTATAGTGAATGAATTGCAAGCATCTTCTAGTGAAAAAAAGATTTTCTGTATGTTCCAATATAATTTGGCTTCAGCATTTCACATACATCTCATGTGCCTCAAGAGTTCAAATTAATCTCATTGAACAATGATAGCTCAAGGAAGGTTTAGAACATTCTGTGAAACACTAAAAATGGTAAAATTTGTCATTTAAAAGTCACCAAGTGAATTTACCATTACACTGTTCTATAATCAATTTTAGAAGAGAATCAATAAAAAGTCCACTGAGTACACAGGCACCAGCGAAAGACATTCCAAAAGGATTCTGGACTGCCTAAAATGCATTTCACCCTGAAGGTTGCAGTATGACAACCAAAACATTCTTCCAAACAGGCAAAAATCTATTAACACTTGACATAGATATAATTAGTTTCCAAGCTCCCAATTCATTTGCATTTCGATAGATGCACCTAACTCTGGAGTAAACAAATGGCAGCTCTCCACTATGTTCATTGTTGGATAATTTCAGATTCTTAGACAGTACATTGGCTAAATTTATGTTGATGTGAACTAAATGGACATCTGTATCTTGTTATGATAACGCACCAAGTACAGCACAATTAACTAAATGGGAAACTCAAGTTCAATTTCCAACTTTCCCAGAATATCTTGACAACAGAAGATGCAATCTAACACAAAACATTGTGTCTGAACAACATATACAATGCAAATATAACATTTATTGATACACAGAGATTTTTTCAGCAGATTTTTAGACTTAACTGTTTAGAATTGTGATGATGTAAACCAAGCAAGTCTTCACTGTTTCTAAACTAAAATGCATCTTCTTTCGTGATCCAAAACATATCCCCAATGTATTGCTAACATGATGAGATAGCATGTCAAGAGGCATTAAAATAAAAAGCTGATGGAAATGCAAGACGTGAAGAATTAGGAGCGCAAAGGGTTAAGTGGAGTCAAAAAGCAAATATATGAATTTTTAACTTCTTTTGGATTTTAACAATTTTTTAAAATATTTAGTCTTTTGAATAAAATGGTATACATATCATTGTAATATATACACTTTCAACATCTACAACTATCAATACAGCTATCGTTTTGGTTAAGCATCTCAAATTTAGGATATATCTTTTGAATGAACCATCTAGAAGTTTAGGATTTCGACAATGGTGGAGGAATGATCATTATTTCATGTTGTATTGCTTTATCTCCTTTGACATTTCCTCAGCACACATTTTCAATATTTCTTAGTATGACGACTTGACTCGTTTCACGGAAGTTTTAACTTTACTTTCTAACAAATTTCTTTAATTTCTGAAAAATGACAACATATAATACATTTGTCCCAATATCTCTAAAACTTCTCAAGAAACTATTTTCAACTTTTCAGAGAATGTTAATATAGTAATGAATGTATTACAGCAAAATGAGTAAAATGTTATTGGATTTCGGCATAACAGTATACAAAAAAAGGATACGGTTGTTACTTTCTCATATGATTCAGGTTGTCTTAATTGATTTTCAATGGAAGAAGAAAAAAATCACAGTATCCTTTTATAGCCCCAATGATAAAATAAAGTAAGACAACATTACTTGAACTGAAAATAGATTGCGATACGTGAAAGGATCATAATACAGATTGGATTCAATATGGTTATCCAGATTTACGAACACTTTTATGGAACCTAACTTGATCATATAATGAGAACTACCTGCACCTCTAATAAATTTCATTTTTATTCTTCTTTCCTCTTTGAGAAATTTTAGCAGTACTAAGTGGTACTCTTGATGGGTGTCAATCCAGTCATGACAATTTTTCAAAAAAGCAAAACAATAAAAAATTGTAAGGGAAGGGTAATAAAAAGTCCAATTATTTCACTATCATCTCTGTGCTGATCACTATCCTCAATATGTTATTTCATTAATGCGAATAACACCTTTTATCTGACTGATTGTTGAACGATTTTTTTTTGTTTAGTTTTTTTACTTAAAGAAAGCAATGTACATAAGCACTTGCAGCACACAAGAAAGCTAAATTTTCTGTCTTCTATGAGTTTCAGTAAACATGACTTACAACTTCCTAAAAAAAGTGATAAAATAGGATAAAGTATTGAAACTGCTTGTTCAACAGATTCTATTTTCCTAAAGAGATTTTGAGTTCCTACTACTTGAAATGTGTGCTTTCAATGAACATGTGTAGTGGTAATCTACACATTGGTGATAAGTAGTCAGGCATCCATTTTGTCCCACGAAACTGTGGCCCTTCCTCCCATCAACACAACACGAAAAGTAAAATTATAATCACAATCGATTTTCATGGGGAAAAGTGCTGCAGATAAAAGATAAACATCCATAACAGATTGTCAGACTGCTCAATGCTAGCACACATTTCTATGTAGTTACCAAATGCAAAATATAAGACGCCTCAGAGGACACCTGGCAGACATGCGGAATTTTCCATTACTGGGCAACACTGCAGGATAGCTGTATGAAAATTCTATTGCCAGTTGTCAATTTGTTAAGTGTTAGAATGTATGATGTTCCCTAATCGTCCTAGATGGTCCTGAAAGTCCTACTGCATCTTCAAATTATGCCACTGAGAAAGAGAATATCAGCTAAACATTAGAGCACATGCAAAGCTACGGTACTGAAATAGTTTTTTTTACCATGTAAGCAAACCTCAAATACTAAGAGATCACTATCTTTTATTTCACATGATTCAAACTGAAGGAATTAAACTGAACTCTACAGTAACAAACCTTTGTCTGGACCTCCACATCATAAGCAGCTTTTTTAAGTTCAAAATCTCTCTGGGCCTTGGCTATTTCAGTATCGTTCAGAAACCTGTAAATAAACAAATATTTTAAAAATTGCAATATCAATATACTTAAGTGCAAGGTCACCAAATTTCTGTTTGTCTATCGTTGTTAATTATGTTCTACTTACTACTTTCAAATAATAAAACTATAACAATAATTCTTATAACCTTTCAAATAACGTTAATACATAACCATTTTTGCAGGATGTGTATTCCTACATCCACTTCATTTGATTTTTCAATTTTTATTTTTTATAGTTCTAAATATTATGTAAAACGGATGTAACAATGAGTGAGGAAACCATGCTTTTTGACAACCATTTTTATATTAAAATTGATGTTGGGCATGGAACAGAACAAAACACCAGAAGATCCATCCGATGTCACAACTTTACATCATACATGCGAACCATAATTAAAAAATGTTTGCAAAATCAAGAGCTCTATGTTTGATAAACAAAAAAGGGATAATATATGACCTTAGAATGAAAAGGGATGTTCCAAGTAAAACTTGAAATTAAGTAAGTATAACTTGAAACACCCAAGAATAAGGCAGCACAATATTCAACTGGGGAGACAAGATCATTAGTCCAAGGCTTAACAATTCACAGTTCTATTTTACACACTTGCAGTCAAGGCCCACTTTCTGTAAATAAAATAGATTAACGCAATACAGTAAAACCCCCTTTTACATTTTCCCAACATTTACAACATTTCATGTTGTTCTCATCAGGTTTTGTAAACAATGTTATAAACATCCTGCTTTTACGATAGCAAAGTTTCAATTTTTCCATAATTTACAAGTCTGCTTGCCATAAGAGCATTTGGAAAACACTTCGCGTTGAACACTACAGTCACTGTTACTGCACTTTCACACTTCCTTGCCCCCTTAAAACACTAGTGTCAAAGGAGACCAGCAGTGGACTGTAGGACTCATGGAAGTCTCGTTGTGACAACAGAGACAGTTTTGGCTCTGTTGTGTTCAATTTAAGTGTCAGACATATTACATTAATATTTACAATATATATTAATGTAATTTGTCCGACACTAAAATCAAACACAACAGAGCCAAAAGGGCTCTCTGACATTAATTCGAATTGCAGACAGCCTACTCTTCCTCATTTCAAAATGAACATAACATAGTGTAACACCTCAATAAACTTACTATCAATTGAAAAATAAAGTAGTGGAGCTAAAACAGCACATACTTTCTCGCCCCTACTTTCACGCAAAAAGTACTCAAATTTTCAAAAGTCCGTACCTGACCTTGTTTGAAAATCTATCTATAAGGAACGCATTTCATTAAGGGAAAAATCTCTTTCCTCATAATTGTAGTTTTAGGAAAATGCTGAAAAAATTTTGAACTATTGCAAGTTTTGAAAAATCAGATTCAACAAACATGAGACCTGCACCATTGTCTCAAACAAGCTTCACACTATCCAAAAAAAATAATTTAATCAAACATGATGGAGCCGTTTTTTTTTTTTAAATTTTGTAAATGTCCCAGAGGCTTCAAGTAAAATACCCCCCCCCCCCAAATTGAAATATCAGTTTCAAATTTAAAGAGCCAGGACAACATTTGAATTGATTGGGGATATCCATTTTGGAGAAAATCAGCTGAACAGTTTAGCCACTAGCGCTGTTGATAGGTGGAAGGGCAGATGTTTTGCCATCATTTGTTTTTCGATAACAAGGTCCTACAAAATGTGGATTCTCGCTACACCACATGCTAGAGGAGTTTTCCCTAAACTTATCAACTGGAGTTATGTACTTTTTCGTTACCAGAGCCTCGTAATAAGAGTTTTCTGCCGAAAATTCGCCGTTTTTTCATGCAGCATTATATAACTTTCTCTCTACTCCGTAATGAGATTGTAAAAATGAGAGCTGTGCTTTCAAAATACATCCATTTGTAATATGGATGAATACTGCCAATGTAGGTAGATAATATTGAATCAAAAACCTTGCTGCCATGCGTTCCTCTTCAGCTATAGCTTCCTTTATCTGGGCATCACGACGGGCCTCAGCCTCTCCAATTCGCGCATCACGTTTCACTTCAGCAGTTCTGGCCATACCCAAACTCTTTAAGTAGCCCTGAAATTTCACCCCAAAATATTGGAATTATTTCATAGCTTTAGAGAAATATGAGTGTAACTTTAACTGACAGCAATATTGTAACTTTTTATTATTTTCCTTGTGTTACTAAGATTATAGTTGAACATTGTTTATCCCGTAAATAAACACGTCTCACATACCTTAGCCCCCTTGAAGCATGGAACACAAAGTCAACATTTAATAACATATTTTGGATGAATTAAAAGAAATTCTTGGCATTGAAAAATTCACAAAGCAAATATATCTATGTGAGAAAAAAATCATCCAGTGACCAAGAGAAATTAAACAATATAATTGTAGAATTATCACACACAAGAAATGAAATCAAGAATCTCAGCAGTAAGAATAAATGAAGCTATTACAGAACAGTAACAAACCAAATGCAGACATTTCAAGACTATATTGTTATTGAAAATAAACTTAAAACAATTTTAATGAATATAGGTGTTGTGGTAAGATATCTTTGGCATTTTTAAAATAATTAAAGATGTTGTCATTGCCAACAATGTTTTTTAATTCAAAAGCAGCTTTCGATGGCTTAGCCATCATCATCAGTTGTCTTTCAGTCGGTCAAGACAGTCAAGTCAGTCAGTCAAGACAACTGATGATGATGGCTAAGCCATCGAAAGCTGCTTTTGAATTAAAAAACATTGTTGGCAATGACAACATCTTTAATTAAGTTTAATGAAGCCTAAACTTACTGATTTTCTGCATTAAGTACAAAAATAACATTTTTTTAAAATATTTTAAGACATAATTCATTGTAGTATAAGAAGGCTCCTATTACAAATTTTGCACAGTAAAACACATGATAAAAAGAAAGAAGTGACATGACCATCTACATTTGAAGATTTTTGCATTGTACACTAACGGTTTTCAAAGCAATATGAATTTAAGAAGTTTATAAATTGGTTCAAAAGAACATACTATTAAGGAAAGTGAATGATCAATTAAAACAAGAAAGAAGCTTACACTGGATCTTCTTTCTGAACTTCATTGCCAATAATTTTTCCTTAGGTACACACTTAATACAAAAAAGAAAGAAAGAAATTGTCACCTCCTCATCACGGATGTCCTTCAACGTGTACGAAACTACAGTGATGCCCATGTTCACCAAGTCAGAAGAGGCCACTTCAAACACTTGCTTACTGAACTTCTTACGGTCTTTATAGATCTCCTAAAAACCACACATCAAACAAAACATTCAGAAGAAAAATAAATTATTACATCAAAAGAAGGTAATGGCTTTACCTACCTCAACAGTCATGCTTCCCATTATAGCTCTCTGGTGCCCTTCTAGAGTCACCAATGCAATATGCTGAATTTCGGATTCTGGCTTCCCCAGAAATTGTTCGCAAGCAGCAAGCAACATTTCTTCATTTTGCCCCTGAATCTTCACCTACAGCATGAGTAGAAGTTACTCATCCCTTAAGGTTTTTACACACAATCCAATGCATGAAATACTCAGTAACTTAATCATGCAAAAACAATTTTGTTAAATTTATTTATGTTTAAAGAAAAATAGTTTGTGAAGCATTTGAACCAAATGAATTTTGTATTTATTAGATAATGGAACAGTTAAGTCTTCTACTTACAATAACACATTCATAGAATTTAACTACTCTATAAATAAAATACTTAAAAGTTTGAACTACTCTCTTTGCAAATTATATTTTCAAGAATAACACAATTGGCTTAAACACTATGCAAATGGTGGGAAAATGAACTATCAACATTAGCAACAACATAGGCATGCATCATGTAACTATTTTGGGAATTCTAACAAGTGGAATAAACATAAGTATACTACTAAATATCCACTTTTATACAAATTTTCCACTAAATTTATACTAGTATTTTTTTAGTACTAATGGGAGAAATTTCTCTAATGAGAGTGTTATTACATAGAAGCAGGTTATTTAATTAACGGAAAAATATGTACAAGAAGTGAATTTCAGTTAACATGCACAGTGCAACATTGTACAGGACTACCAACAAATGGAAAAAAAATTATAGGAAGTGAAAGTAAAAAATCTTTGAGATCAACTGAAAGTCTTAGCTCTAGATAATTCCAAGCCAATTCAAGTTAATTCTGAGATATTACACAACAGTTATAATCTGATATCCCCTGTCATTAAGTAAAGAACTAATGTTTTTAAAGTGCAGTGTTATTTGTTACACTAGTGTCACTAAATGAACAAAAAGTAATAATTGATGTAGTAAACATGTTAGTAGGAATATCTTCATTTCGACAAAAACAGTGGCTTATGACTATCCAGAACAGAGCCATTCAATTGTTTGCTTTCAAGAACCAGATAAAAAGAAAGTACAAAATAGAAATGAAGAAGTCTATAAATCAGAAGTAAGTCTCTATGCATGATAATTATTTAATGATTGTTATTAACTTTGATTAAAATAGAACAGATACTAGGATTACTTGCTCTCCCATGAAAAATATACCAACTTCTGAAAATTACAATAGTTTAAAATTATTTTCAAAGCTACTAAACATCCTTCATATGCAAGTTAAAAATAGTTTTAAATCATGGGATTCAGTTAAATATGAACGCTAAATGTGTGTGGAGAGCCAATTCAAATTCTTGATATTCTATTTATTTTCAACCAATTAGGACACAGTACAGATATTAAGATAACTGAATAAACTATAGTTTTCAATACAAAGAATCTGGTATATAATCAAAATACTGGGCAAACATGTATTTACTTTCACCATTTAACATTTTATATTCCGAGTTTTGTTCCAAAAATATGTCTATTGGATGAAAACCAAGATTATGGAAATAAGTAGCAGATGATGCATTACGAAACTTTTCAAGTAGTATAAGTTAAATTTTATTTTACAAACTGTAGTTCTCATTATTAGGATTTATCAGCCCAGAGGTACTGGGGGAATTCGTGGTAAAGAGAGCATTCACAAACTCTTCTACAATGAAAGCATGAGATAAATACAAAAAGAAGCTAATAGCTAGTTTCCAATTTTTCTCCTTTAACGTACAAGGGAATATATGAATTGGAAAACTCTAGAACTCTCATATTCACCAAATATAAAAAATTATATTACACACTACCATGCATGGATTCTCCATGTACATTTGATATAATTTAAAAATAATTCAAGGGAAATATACCTACTGAAGGATAAAGAAACTTTTGAAGTATAATACCTATTTCATCTGTACGTTTCATATAATTATGACACTTTTGGTGTGTTTGTATCACAGAATGTAGTTTTCTTTCAGAACATCCACTGCACAAACATAGATGTGCATCATAATTGTAATGTAGAATGAACAGATTTGAAATTATATAATTTTCATTTTTATTAAAAATTATTTTGTACAAATGATATATTGGATATGAGAACTGTATGTTGTCATTACTAAAATTTTTGGGTAATTTCTATAATTAGGTAATAAAAAATTGAAAATCACTCTTTTTGAAAGATAATGGTCTTGTATAGAGCACAATCATGCAATTTCCCGGTAACATCATCCTATTGACTAGATTTTGATCACAACGGATTGGAAAAAAGATGGTTTAACAACACATTTTTACTTATGGTTAATTCATTTGGTACAAAAACTAAACCAATAATATTGTAATACACACATCTTCTATCCATATTTTATTTAATACACAGATAAATTCGTATTTGATAAATACATACTTCTACAAAATTAAAGAAATTATGGCCAATACCACACATAAAATATATGGCCAAGAGGACAAATTTTCATTGCTCACCAAACTGTGCAGTAGTATGCCAGAATGAACAATACACATACTGCTGTGGTGAAAATATTAATATGACCACCATGTAGTCTGACCAAAACATTGGTGTCCAAAAAACATGATCTTGGTCATCAAATTTATCCAATGGACCTCTCAACAATGTCACAATAGATAATAACCGCAAAATAACTAAACTTACTCACAAAAATAATAAAATAACAAAAAACATTCTAATTTATACAACACACTAAATGATTAGAAAACTACATGCACAATCAAGAACACGTCTTTGAACATCCAAACATTACTTTAAGCAAAAACATAATACTAAGACAATTTGAGGGAAGATATAATCAATAAATTAGTTTTGCGTTCTCAAAAAATTATGTGGAAAATTCACTACCAGTCACCATTTTTAATAGATAGTGATTTTTAATAATGCTTAATAAATAGTGATTTTTGACTCAAAGCACCTTTTCCAAACTGTTTGATAAAACTTAAAGAGTACATACCATTCCATTTGTTTTCCTCCATTATCCTTAGATCTACAACGCTTTTTAACAATTTCATCTAGTGTACCTCATAATCATGATTGGAGATCAGAATAAACATCATCAATAATATCTATTTTAATTTCTGCCTTATAATGTGTTATAACTGTTATAATTCACAACGGTGAATATATATTAAACTAAGGAATTGGATCTGAGCCTTACAAAAGATTTACAAAATGCATATAAGCATGATCTATAACTACATATCTGGGAATAGCAAGTTAAGTCTATTCAATACTCAAGTTTTAAGAGAAATTCAAGTGTCTGTGAAAAAATATACTGTATAGACTAAGTAATTTTTGGAAAACAACAGGAATAGAATTGTTTAATCAGCATTCACTAAACATACATAACACTGAACATAATGACATTTTTGTACAAGCAATGGAATAAGCTCAAACCATATACATGCATCATTTCCAGAATTTTAATGCACGTTTTTTTGGAAATCTAAATCTACACTTCAATATGCATACATCATCAATTATTATTGAAACAAACATGCATCATGAAACAGGTGCTAATACCTTGAACATACAGAAAAAAATAGCTGTATGTATTGCTAAAATAAAAGTACCTGCGCAATTCCGGTCACTGATATTGGCACTCCTTGGCTTGTGTATACAGTAGGACTTTCTACTTGAAGAGTCATAGTATTCAATGAAATTCTGAAATAATAAATGAGAAAATGCAAAAGAATCCTGTAATATATTTGCATCATATTCTTTATTTTTGAAGACCATGAATAATTACCTCTGCACACATTGAATTGTTGGCCAAACAAATGCTCTACCTCCAGGTACCAGCAAAGGCTTGTTATAACAGCATCCTAAGATACAAACATTAAAAAAAATTAGGTAAATTTTTTTATATTCATAGGAATGCAATTTTCATGCAAGATATTAATATATTCAGAAAAAAAGAATTCCTCTTTACAGACAAAAATCCAATTTCAATAAACTCTAATGAAATTGAATAGAATTTTACAATCACTAAAACTTAAAAGCATGAAAATAAAATAAATGGAAATTAATACGTGAACTGAAATATTTTCTAATTATGAGACAGTAAAAGGTAGAATCCAGAGTCATTTTATTTGGAACTGTACCCTCATAAAGAATGCAGCAGTAATATTAATTAATGTGTAGAAAATAACATTTTCTGCAGAACTTTATTAAAACATCTGATTTTTTACTCACGTTACAAAATGTTTTATATGAAATATAACTAAATATATATGACAACTATTCCCATGTTTCTTTTTTTTTCTTTTGTTTTTGTTTTTGCAACTGTAATGCATTTAGTTATGATTTGAAATATTTTTTAAGTCCGAAAGCCCATTCCGATTTGACAGTTCAACTGTCAGTACTTGAAAGCAATTTATTGGCAAGTCCACACAAAACATAACACCACAGAATAGGTTGTTGTTGTTGTTTTTTCAGCTGTTATCTTCGTATTCAAGATAGCTAATTCTATAAGAAAAACAATCGATGCGAAGAAAATTCTATAATGAACGATTAAAAATAACATCGACCACTTGTAAAGCATGGTGGACCATTCATGTTGACGTCAGGGGCTTCCGAAGAGGAAGCGTACAGTATTGGTTCGGGCTTATCTGCGCATTCAAACGAGCGCCATGGGAAATACATAACCGTATTAGTATCTTACCTGAAACCACAAGAGCTTCATTTGGGCCGCAAGTAACGAAACCCCAGGTCATAGTGACAAATCAATCGACAAATATCCACAAATGACGAACGAAACGACGCGCACAGTTTCAAAATACTCTTGATATAGAAGATAACCACACAAGTTGGGTAAAATGATATAAGAAATATCAAAGTATCGGGGGAAACCCTTAATATTCGTAAACTTATTACAGGAAAAACAGAAACCCGAAGAGGAAAGATCGGACGTCAATGCTCACGCTTGCCAAGCCATCAGCGCCATCTACGTGCGGACAAAGGCACTGATAACAATAATAATAAAGCTATTTTTGAAATCTCAATTCTCTCAGTAGAATAGGCAATTTACTTTAATTTCATTATAGCATCTGACAATATAATTTCATTTGTGTTACTCAAATATAAATAGGAATAATATTCAACGAATAATGAGAGCAAGGTCGAAATGTCAATGGATCTATACCCACACGCCTGAACGTATGATGCTGCCATCTGCTAGCAGTATAGTAAATCACGTTCAAAACTTCTGAACGATACCACTAGATTGTAACATACTTCAGGCGAGTCTTTAACGCGCTCTGTTAACTAGTAATTGACAACTATCGTCACGCATAATTTTTCCCATGAGCACGCACGCACCTTTCGAATTCGGCAATCGAAAATATTTTTGAATACTTCATACGAAACTCAATACTATGTACTATACTTTGTTTTAGCTTGTGCATTACAGACAATATCTAATATTCACATTTGAGAAGCTTGTTTCCAAAAGATACTATCTCCATTTTTTTATTTTCATTAGGTAGAAAAAATAAAGATTTTTTAATGTTCCTTTAACTTACTGATTGCTTTTTCTTTAGACACAGTGAACTATTAAGTTTCTCTTCAATCGTTAACTTCAATTAATTAATTTAAAACAGTTTAATTAATTAATAAATTAGTTAGTTAATTAAAATGTGTCTTCCTGATCTAGTACATTTCGACTTCATGAGAGATAAAGTACATTTTGTCATAAAATGTATTGGGTTTGGTACTTTTTGAAAGAAAAAGCTTAAAAGAGAACAATAAAAGTCCACCAAACGCGGAATTTTCATATTTATTTTAAGGTTTTTATTTCTGGGCCACCCATTATTATCTTCTGGACCACCCATTATTAAAGTTCTCAAATTTACTCATCACACCAAGACGAATTCTCTGAAATGTGTAAAGAAATTAAGAGTTCCCTAGTAAAAAGAATGACCAGTGAAATTCACAGTATATTGTTACACCATTGTGTGCATTTTTAAATTTATAATACTACTGAATATTATTTTTTAGCTATAAGTGTGTTAAAATTTGTCGTCGCATTTTAGGAACCACTTGGTACGCTCACAAATTTTACCTGATGCTTTCACTCTCGCGCCTAACTCTTCAATAACAGTGAAATACGGTACATTTTGAAGATTTTTCAATTTATCGTAAAACTCTTTACACGGCGCAAGCGCAAGCTTTTAACCAGTGCGCACGACCACCTTCCAGACAAGTGGGGATTCATAATGTGACTATATATACAGTGTGGACTACACCCCCCCTGGAAACATTGAAGCGCATTCCGGAACCTAAAATGTTATAAATCAAACACTGTATATTGACAATATAAATGACAATAAGTAAGAAGACACACATCTCCAAATCCCGTTAATCGATATCTCGAAGTGGGTCCAAATTTTTTTTTTTTTCGATAACCAAAATTTTGAGTTATTAAAAAAGCTATTTTAAATACTGATTCAGTGAATGAAAAATTGCTTTGAAAAATTAAAAATTCGTGTTATCGACGTTTGTGTTTTCCAGGTTTGACTGTGTATTTAAATTCAAATGTTCAAGGGCGGATCAATAAAAAGTATCTTTGTATTTAGAAAATACAAAATACTATCAGATAGTATTTTCGATGCAAATACAAAATACATATTCAAATAAGTATTTTCGATACAAAATACATATCACAAAAGAATTGAAAATACGTATTTTAAATACAAGTATTTTCGATACTGTCCAACTCTATTGCGAACCGACGAGAACTTGGTTTTCAGCGAGTGCATCTGACGAGAAAGACGTGTGTTCCCTGCTTAATGTATTACAAAAACTTCCATGACAGTGGTTCATGGGTGTTCCCGCGAGGTATGCATTTCTTTCAGCAAAAAGGGGAGTGAGCACTGCACTCCATCATATTCCGGCTAACGTCTTCTCAATACAGATATTTTCCATTTAGCGAATTTTGAGCGAATGAACTCATTGATTACTTGTACGCAGTGGAACGTATTCCATTTCTCAAGTACAAAGTAATTGTGCTCATTCTGAATCGGTCAACAACTTTGTTTTGTTACAGATTATGTGATATATTGTAACGTCGTGTGTAGGGATCTACACCACAAGGAAACAGACACGAGTGAGTATAGACAAGTTTTATTTACACACTGTACATATTTACATCCCTCACTCTAAGGCGGTTTGCCAGAGCTACCACTGCAGCCCTCCTCTCCCTACGTGCGCCTTGCGGCGACGCCTACGACCAGCCTGCAAGGCCGCGTCGCAGATAGGCACCTGGTGTGCCCCGGCAGATTGACGATCTGCCCGAATGTGTTTGAAGAACACATCACCCTGTCCGAACTCGTCGAACAACCACGTGCCCTCGGCACTCCGCACCAGCCTGGGCGGACAAAGTTTTTGTGGTCTAGCCACGAGGAAACCAAAAACGTTACCCACTCGCGCCGTCTCGCCACGGCGTCTTTATAGGTCCAGGTCACCTGACCTCCTACGTCACTACTCCCCACCCCCGCGCGGTGGAAAGCCTTTCCGTGGCGCTGCCTGGCCCGCGGACCATTTCCTGTTCGGAAAGTCCCTTCTTTGTTCTATCTTTAGATACCCCAGCCCTCTACCTTGCACTCGGCTTGCTGCTGCCAAGCCGTGACGCTACAATAGCTTCATAATGTCGCCTATTTATCGACGCATCCCAGCATAGTTTGAAGGCAGTCTTATTGCGCATTGGCAATGTAAAACCTTCTATACCCATTGCTCACTTTCATCATTTGAAAGAAACTCATGACAATTTAAATGCTGTACTAGAAGCAATTCAAGATAATCGTTATCAGTGGAACATCTGTGGAGATTTAAAATTGATCAGTATGTTGGAGGGTTTACCAAGTTCTGTTGCTTCCTTTGCCTGTGATATAGTCGAGATACAGTACAGCGTTATGTCAAACGTGACTGGAAGCCAAGGAAGGTCTTTCAGTCAAGGAGAAGAAAATGTCCAACATCTCACATTGGTTGGTATACACAAGTTGCTACTTCCATAATTTCATATTAAGCTTGGCATATAGTTTATAACCTCATTTATGAGGTAGGTTGTCTTTCATGTTCATCTTCATATAATGCCTCATTTTGTTGGCGCAAATTAATTCACCAATTTTGCAGCAATAGCGTATCTCGAGGCGCAGAGCAAAGTCGCTCGCCTTTCACTAAGGAGTTTCGGGTTCCATTCCCCTCGAATCTCACGTGCAATTTGTTCCAACAAAACGAGTTTGCCTGCGTCCCAGGGGCTAGTCCAACCCCTGTGTAGCGTCCTAAACCCTACCCCAATTCCTTTCCCACTCTGGCCGCTGGATAGTGACGCAGGAGCGCGTGGTAGGAGGCGCGTAGGCGGAGATGCTACTGTGGCGTCATACGGGTGTAATCGGAACACAGACGAGGGTGGTTTGTAAAACAGTAGATTTATTCGCAATCTAGACCGTAGTCTCAATTGAACAACTCCCCTGCTTACAATCAACTAAATAAATAGACCCACCACAAGGTGAGATAATTTATGAACGTCTACCACACCGCAACATACTACCGATGCTCCCTGCGTGAAGCATCGCACTACCTGGAGACCATCTACACGTCTCGCAAGTCACGACAAGGAATGGCCGGCCCCTCGCCCTAGTGCACCTACACGCACAGACACGCGCTTCACCTGTCGCCGACGTCGCTAGAACAAGAAGACTGGGGCACTGTTCTCCTGGCCTTATATAGGCCCTTTGACGCTACCCGCCGCCCCCATTGCCTCCTCTCAACCGCCGCCCTGGCCACGCTACGTCCACGGAAAGTCCCAGTTCGTCATCACTCCGCCCTTTGTTCAACATCCGGCGATGCCCGCCGAGTGCTACATGTTCGACGCCGTTTTGTAGCGCGTCACGACGCTACACTACCTAGCGGGTCTCTTGACGCGACTGCGAAGAGACTTGACCTACAAATTTAAACAAATATGATAAAGGCGGATTACTCCAAATGCAAGCGCTCGATGCCCTTTAGAGACTCGTTGACTCAACGCAACAAATTAAGGAAGAACTAGTTGTGCCGAAACAGCACTAAGTTTCTCGCCATTAGCAATGGTTATGTAATACTATTTATACCACAATTCATCTCTGAATTATGTTTTGTAAAACTAATTTAAATCGTAGAATATTTGATGCGAAAAATAAGCAGAATGCAAAGAATAAAATATTTAAGTTAATAAATAATACGATACAGAGAGCGTTTGAAAACAAATAGATCGAAAAATATATAATAGGAATTATTAAACACTATGGTATTGTAATATTCTACAAATATACAAAAGTGTTAGTTTTTATTTCCGCAAACTAAAAGCAGCCATTATTATCGTGTTATCTGTGCGGCGCAGCATTACGACAATTTGTTCAACAACCAACAATGACCGCTGATCTATTCGTTTTCACATTTAACACAATTAAAGGACGCGATTTAAAATGAAATAACTTAATTATATAATAAATAATAATAATAATAAAATTATATATGCAATAATATACAAATTCTAATTTACGTAGCATACAACTGCGTAAATTGGGAGCGGGCGACTAAAGAGCAGCAATATTTATTTCATATTTATTTCATATTTATTTCAAACCGGTTTTAAATAATTTCTAAAAGATTATTTTTAAACGTATAACAAAAGCTCCAATGTAAGAAACGAACAAAGAAATATGAAATAATATACACATTACGTAGCATGCAACTGCCTCAAAACACCTGAAATTACGATCACGAAGCCCCGTATTTTCAGAGTGGGCGACTAATTAGACTCCCAATTACTCCAAAATTACTCATAGTTTCGAAAAATTGAACATGACCTAATTTGAAAATCAATTTTTGATGAACACATTTCATTAAGAAAAAAATTGTATCTTCTTAATTGTAGTTGTAGGAAGACGCCGAAAACATTTTGAATTTTTTTCAATTGTCGAAAAATCAAGGTTTTTAACCAATATGAGACCTGCACCATTTTCTTAAATGTTTTTCATACTATTAAACAACAAAATTTCATCACAAATTATAGAGCCGTTTTCGGGAAAAAAATTGTTTAAACAAAAATTAAAAATTGACTATACTTCACGCAACATTACGCGAAGAATACTCAAATTTTCGAAAAATTGTACACG